TTTGTCAGAACGGTTTATCCATAGGAGAAGACAGGTGTCGAAATCCAAATGCCCACCGATCCCATCAGATATCTCGGTAACTGACCTATGGGCTCCATCTACAAAGTGAATTAAGAAGGCAATGCCCTCACAAAAAAGGAAATGAGCTTCACACGTGCCTGAGGACAGCATGGAGTTGGTCGAAACTTGCATTAAAGAAATAACTGGTAGGTCCGTGAAACGCACGCTTACCGTAAGCAATGATTTCTTTCTTGTTCTTGTGGTTTGCATCAGCGGCGAGATCCTCGCAGTGCTGCACAAATAATCCTGTCAATTGAGAGAAATTATTTTATAGACCGTGCTATCTCAACCAATAAAATTAAGACACATCAATCATCATAACATCTGGAATTAATTTTTTTTTTAATTTTTTATTTCTCTCAAATCAATATTAAGGGTATGTTTAGTTGGAGACTCATTTTTTTCGTGTTTGGCTCCTGTAAAATGAAAAGGTCAACGTATTTTGTTTTCCGGTCAACGGAAACTTAAAGGAAAACAGGGTAAAATGACTTACCGTTTGGGAAAGGGTAAGTCATTTTCCATCGTTCTGCAACTACCTTGCTCCACACTGAAAACAATTCGTTCTCCCGTCCCTTTCTCCACACCGAAAAATCAATCGATTCAAAGACTGGATCCGCTCAGAAATCTTTATCCCAAGTTCCCTTTTTCTATCCTCTGTTCCTTCTTCTTTTATTTTTTTTTCTATGTGGTTTTCGTTCGTAGATTTGGCTCTGTGTTCTTTCTTGAAAATCTGGAGTTTCTCAGTATTTTCATTCTTGTTCTGAGGTTTGAGTGGATTATTGTTAATTGATTTTTTAGCATGTAATACGGGACATTTAAAACCTAACAAAACAGTAGGTGTAAGAGGCTCTCCTCTGTTTAAGAGCATATGCTGTTAATAAATCATGGGCGATTGGGTTTCTGATCGATATATCCGGTGCCTTGTTGATGCTGAGAGTGTTATCTATGGATCCGGTGAATTTGATTTTCTTTAATTTTGTAATAGACCAAATTTGTTGTTTCTTTGTTGCGTGACCAATGTTTGGCTGCAAAGGGATTGATAGTGTAAAATTTGTGTATTCTTTATATTTTTACTACAAAAGTGTTGTTCAAGTATCTGTCATTCAACTGGTATCCGGCTGCGGGCTTGCCATTCTTTCGATCTTGTCGCACTTCTATTTACAAGAAGTCATGAATGTTATTGATCGGATGGGGATTACATTAGGTGGCATTGGCACCATAGGTAATGCAAGTTTTTCCTGGTTCTCGATTTAGTTTAAAAGCCTTCCCCCCATTGACATCATGTTATATTTCGACAATGATTCTAGGATTTTGAAATCTGTAAATGATACCTTCTCCTGGTGGTTGTGCTAATAGTTTCTGCAACAACCGAAATCACCCAGTTTAGCCTTATGGTTTATACGACAGTGAAATAGAATACCATTGACCTATATAACTAGCAATAGTATTATTTTTTACAATTAGGAGTTGGCGTCGGTGGAGAGGAACAAGATGCTTCTTCAGTATCTATTTTACACGCGTGCAAAATGTACTTTATCTACACTCATTTTGTACAATAATATCGTAGTCCTAGATTTGCTCCGTCCGTTGTCATGTCTTGCAAACCGTAGGAGATTCATACACCGAAATGTTTCATTTTGTTCCCATGAAATCTCTGTCGAAATTTTGTTCAAGGGTGGTGGGAAAGCAAGCCCCAACATGTCCAAGGGTTCCCCAGGGATTGGCTAGACCCACATTGCGATGAGTCGCAATTTGAGAAGTCATACCCCAGTGAATCAAAGCTTTCTGAGGCTTAAGATACTTAAACGATGGAAAGTTTAACATATCGACACGATTTATGATAAGTCTTTATCTTGTTGTATGCAAGCGAATTACTCAGCTTATGTAGTTTGACAGTAATCCATCAACCAATCCATTTGGTTTTAGTACTAATGAGAAGACATTGAAAGTCATATTTTTTACACTATTATTATTATTACGATGTTATGTACTATTGTTGTTTTAATTTGATTTACTATTAATTAAACATTTTTAATATTTATAAATTTTTATAATAATTTTTTAATCAATTATTAATATTATCTAAAATACATATTTTTATAAAATATAATTATATATAAAAAAATGAACCTTTAAAAATAATAAATAATAAAACATATCTAATATTATATATATTTTTTATTAAAAACAGATTCTGAAAACTATTTTCAGAAAAATTAATCAAACAGTGTAAACCATTTTACAATGTACCATCAAAACACTAGAAAATGTTTTCTGGAAAATGATTTATATTTATGTAAAACATTTTCCAGATTTCATTTTCCGGAAAACATTTTCACTGAAACAAACGGACCCTAAGGGTGCGTTTGGTTCACGGAATGTAAGATTATCAGTGGAAATAAAATATTACCAAGGAATAGGATTACTGGGAATGTTGTATTTTATGTTTGGTTGGTTTAGCAGGAATGTAAGATTACTGTGTTTGGTTAAAGGAATAAAAGATTGTTGGAATGTATATTTGACCAAATTGTTCTTATTATATATTTGTTTTTTTAATAAGTTGGAAAATATTTATATATATTTTTTTAAAAATTTAAATTCATAAAATTTATATAATTTTTTTTACAAAATTAAAAATATAAAAAGGTTTAATGAAAGAGTAAAATTTTATTTTAATCCTTGAACTTCATATAAAATTTTAATTATAGACTTTTTTTTGTAAATCTAAAATAGTTTAAGGATAAATTTGTAATTTAACCTTCGTAGAATTTTTATTATTCAATGATAAAATAATGATATTTTTCAAAGAAAAAAAAATTTAAGGATATTTTAGTCCAAAACGCCGGTAATCGAATAATACCTAAAAAAATGGAGGTAATGACATTCCCGGTAATATACCCCAACAAATCCACTATTGGTATTGTAAGATTACAGGAAATGACATTCCCGGCCAACCAAATAGGGGAATGTAGATTCTATTCCTATGAGAATCTCACATTCCCCCAACAAAACACTCTAAATCTTCATCCATCAGTCCAAATCTCTCAAACTCCTCCAGCCGGCCGCCGTTAATCATAATAACCATGACCACCGTCACTTTCCTTCCATCCTTTCCGTACTTGCAACATCTATTATATTATCACGGCACACCCAAAACATGGGATCGGAAATCGGAGAGGATAATGATCCGAAGCGGTGGCTGCTATAAGAATGAAATATTCTAAAGCATTTGCTTCTGAAATAATTTGAATTAATTTAATTGTGCCACAGTAGAGCATTCTTATCCAATCGCAATAGCGTTTCTTTTCAAAGCGGTGACCCTTTTCTTTTGCTTTTGGTTTAATGTGGCATGAACAGCACCCGATTATAAAGCATAAAAAATGAATATAAATCTCGATCTATTAATCCAACAAATACAATAATCAAAGGTCTGAATCAACTCCGGCCACCGTCAAGTTCAAAATTCATGGCATCAATTGGATCTTCAAACAACGGTTAAAAGCAATTTCGAATATCGTATTGAAGGAAGGAAGCGCGATAAAAATTGTATTCAATAAATATAAATGACGGTGCCCATGGTGATTGTAGTTAACGACAAGAGGGGTTTAACAAGTTTGGACTAAGAGATGAGGATTCTTCTGCAACTTCGGGTCCCATATTTTGGGTGTGCCGTGATAATGAAACACAGGTTACAAGCAGGGAAAGGATAGGAGGCAAGTGACGGTGGCCGTGGTGATTATGATTAACGGAGGCCGGCGGGAGGAGTTCGAGAGGTTTGGACTGAGAGATGAGGATTTAATGTTGATTTGAGAAAAATAAATAATTAAAAATTTAATTCCAAATATAACTAAGATTACGAAAAAAAAAATTATTTGTCTTAATTTTACTGTTTGAGACCATGTCCTACGTGGTGACGAGGGCCCATAAAATAATTTCTCGAGGATTTGATATTTTTGAGTTTGAATTATATGTATAAATAATTGGAAATTTAAAAAAAATATATTATTTTATATTCATTTCATACTAATATGGATCAAAATCTTCTATGACAATTGTTGTCGTTATACATTTTAATTTTGGACATAACATTTCCATAAATACGAAAATAATAATAAAAATATGAATATATGAATGTGTTAAAATCTATATAATACGAATTATTAATTTGTCAAAACTTGAATATATATGAACATAACACGGATGCATGAATTACCATGTCTTGACTTCTTTCCTAAACGAGAATAAGCAAAAAAAAAAAAGAGGAAACACCAATGGTTTCTTAAGATATATGAATCACCTGTCAGTCCCTTTATTCTACTGAAAATGTTATAATCAGCAGCAACATCCAGGTATCTTCTTTTAGATCTAATACCAATGGTACACCATGTCGAGACCGACTTCCGGATCTTCTATGATTTGGCTTCATCATCCTGCAAAACTCATGTCAAGGGTAAGTAGGAGCTTTGCACATATCGACACATCGATGTCGGAATTGGTTTAAAAGAAACTGAAACACAAGGAAGCCAATATGTACAAGCATAAACCATTAAAAGCATTTATTGGAAAGATTGCAGAGCTTATATCAACAGTTTGTTGGAGCTTTGAGCATATCATCTCATAAAAACCGGAATTAGTTCGAACAAAACTGTAAAGCAAGGAAGCCAAATATGTGCTGCTCTATGCATCCAAGAGGACACTGATAATAAACCATAACTTGCATACATAATCCATTACATAAGGTGAAATCATAAATTCGGGTCATATCATCTAAGAAGCCTGCAATGCATATATATATATATATATATATAGTTTACTTATTTTTCACTTTCAAATGGTAAAATGATTCTCTTTAAATTGTGTTGGATATGAATTCACTTATATGCCCAATAACTTTCATCACTTTCAAGTCGACTCTATCACAAGCAAACAGTCAAATACGTAACAACAAGATCAAGTTCATAAACGGAACTGTGCTTACCGAACTGTCTGCCATTTTACCAAAAGCATCATCGAAGCCCTCATCTTCATCCTCTGAAGCACCAAAGAGATGATTAGCACATTTAATCAAAGCAATTCACGTATGAAAAAAATGATCAGGAAGTGTCATTTTTCATTTGCAGCGATTTATAGGTATATCAACGATCTTTACAGTAAAAACAGTTATGCAAGACTCTAATACAGGGAAAACATAATCTATTTCAAGTGAATAACTTGATGTTTCAAGAAAGAGAAAGGAACAAGGAAAGAACGATTCGTACCAGGGCCTCCATCGCTGTCACCACCCAGTAGAAACACATCCAGTCTTGTTCAGTAACTGAGGTTGAACTTTTACCATGCTGCTTCGTTCCCTTTTCCTGTGGTTGAGATGTCATTTCAATGTTTGAAGATTCCTTCACTTTTTTATCCAGGACTTTTTCAGCAGCTTTTCGCTCAGCCTCTTTCATATACCGCTTCTCATACCTATATGGGATCATGAATTAGTAGAGTTTACTGTAACAAAACAATGTTGACTAAAGCATAAGCAAATGCACATTACATTAGGGAAATCTCTAAAACGTACCTTCAGATCCAGATGACACGTAGAATTACAGTGGGTTTCAATGAATTTGAAGAGTCAATCGAAAAGAAATCAATAACACTATTAAATAACTACGTTCTGAAGGCCAAATTATTCTTCGTCAGAATCATATGTTGAAACTTTTTTATTTTTGGCTACAAAATTTTATGAATTCTTAAAACACGTCAATTAAAGGAGAAGTGCATGGAAGCAATCATAACCTGAACTACCTACATTTAGGTAGAAGCTCATTTTGAACGAAGTTGAGACGGAATAGTGTAAATTCAGTAAAAGACAAAATGGAGGCTTAACATGCAAAGACAGATTACTTACAGGGCAACGTGACTGTTTACTAGTATGATGTATATCCTCCAGAATTTCCTCTCTCTCATGACACGGGGGCACAACTCGAATCTTAACTTTGATATTTCCTGGAACAATCAGTTGATGTGAATAAGCTCATGCATGTATGATTATGCTTACCAAGCTAATGATACAAAGTTTAACTTCATAGTTTATACAATATAAATACACATTAGACTGGTCACTTTTCCCATTAAGATTTCAGGATAGAAATTCTGTTTAGAAAACCAACGTAAAAAGATAGCATCCCAGAATGCGGCATGCAACTCAAACATAACTGAATGTTTTAATCCAAAGCAAAGATGGAAATAGAAGACCATAATCTTTCAGTAATCAACTTCAATCTAAACCACTTTAAATATGGATCACTGAAAAAGTTAACAGAAAAAATTTGCATTTTAACTTGATGCAAGAGGACTGAGTTTTCGAATCTTTTTCTTGGATGATACTTGGTAGTGTACCTTTCAATATCTCGCAGGCTCTTTTCTCAACGATTCTAGAATTTGGTAACTACCATTCTACTATTACTATATTTCATAAAATCTGAAGATATGTTTGGGGTGATTTAGAAACTTTTCGGGTTCGTCGGATCACAATTCACACATAAGTAAATAGATAAAAAAAAATCTGAGTGGAAGAAAAGAAAAGCAAGTGCAACCTTGTGCAGTTTATGTAGGTTTTTGAACAGTATTTTCGATGTTATTTGCATATGGATTCACTTAATATTTTAATCATTCAAAGTATAATTTACAATCTTAGAGCCTTTAAAATGAGTTTACATACATACTATAGGAATAGGAAAGCCTGTTTACTCAAAAAGATAAAAATATGTTGGGAATTAAGCACGTCATAAGCATATATGTACCTTAACTGTTCAAAATACAAGCTTGGCATGTTTTTCTTGCCACTCTTTAAGATCCTGCCTTACATTTGAGACCGTGGGAACATCAGACATTGGGGAATCATCTGTTGATAGAAAATGTTCATGAAATAAACTCAAGATTGTACCATAGCATATGATATAATGAGAAGTTGGAATTTCTTTCTCAGTTCGTAAATTTTCAGAGCTATCAATTCCACTGCCTACAATTTCTCAGCATCCAAACAACGTTTAACAATGTATTCACTTACCGGGCAAAGGAAACTCTTGAAAGGTTCTCATAGTAATCCCCTTAACAAAATCTCTCAACTCTTCAGTAATTCCAAACCTCTCCAATTCCTTCTCCGGTTCCACCAGGATCTCCGGGTTTTCTGGAGGCACGACCCCCTCGGCGAGCGACGATTTGATGAGTTCGGCTTGCTTCGCGGCTTCGACTTTGATTTCTTCGGCCCGTTTGGACGCCTCAGCCGCGATCTCCTTGGACCGTTTCATGGCGTCCGTTACTATATCGCCGAGCTTCGCGGGGCCCATAGCAAGCTCCGACGATCGTTTCGCTGCTTCCTCAGCGAAGCTCCGAGCCTTGTTCCAGAAATCCATTGCGGCCCAAGCCCAATGCCTTAAGCTCTCTTCATCTTTCTTCTTCCTTAGATGTATTGGTTGGGATTGCTAGAAATTTAGAAGGAAGTGTAGACACTTGATAAGCCAAAGCTATGGTTGATTTGCCATGACAGTTCTTGGATTTTTTATATTTTTCGAATTTATTTTATAAAACTTTTAATAATACTCTAATGATTTTTTTATAAGATTAACTACACGATTGATTATATATACTTGTGTTTTGTTCAGATGATTTCAAACAAACATAATACAAAAGAAAACAAAACAAAGTAAATTGAGGCTAAAGGAATTTGAACCCAGTTTTCTTAAAAAATTAAGTACCTAACTATTAAACCAAAATCAGTGCTTGATTTAAAATAAACAATATGATGTATATATTTTATATATATTAACTTTAAGAAATAGTTTTGTTATATTTAGTTTATTAAATATATTTTATTACTAACTTAATTTAAAAATATTTTATTATTATTTTAATTTAAAAGTATATATTTTATTCTTATCTAAACTTTTAAAAATATATTTTATCATTATGTAACTTTTCAAAGTATATATTTTATATTAATTTACTAAATATATTATATTATTATTTTAAGTTATTGAATATATTTTATTCTTATCTTTAACTTCAAAATATTTTAACATAAAATATATATTTTTATAATTAAAATAAAAATATTTTTAAATTAAGTTAATAATAAAATATATTTAATAAATTAATATAAAAAATACTTCTTTCCCAAAAAGTAAAAAAAAAATATTTCTTAAAGTTAATATTATGAATTTTCCAAAAATATTATGTGTTTAAGTTAAGTATTTATACATTAAGATACAAAATATATAGATCATGTTATCTACTTTTTTAAAGCATTGACTTTGGTTTAATGGTTGGGTACATGTTTGATTTCCTAGGTGACCTAAATTCAAATCCCGTTTGATCCTAATTTGTTTGATTTCCTAAGTGACCTAAGTGACCTAAATTTAAATCCCTTTGGTCCCAGTTTGCTTTGCTTTGCTTTGCTTTTTTTTTCAACAAGAGGGTGACATTAGTCACATTTTGATTGGTAGAAATAAATATATTAAATTAAAATAAAGTTAGTTCTCCAACCGAATGGTGACATGTGACACATTCAATTGGAAGATTAAACTGAAAGAATATGTTTGAAGAAGTTGTTGATGTCCAGGTCGGTCTTGGAGTGTAGAATCAACATGTAAAAGTTTAGCCCAAAATACTTCATTAGTATCTTGTAGATATTCTTGAATGTAGGAATCCTAATTTTTTTCAATTTTTATTGATCAACACTTTTAAAGGGGTTTTTTATGTCAAAATGACATGATTTTTTATTGGAAGTTGATCTTGTGATGGGAAATACACTTATACAATTTCAACTCAAAATTCCTTTATTAGAATTTTTTTGGAACTTTTTCAATGAAGAACCCTTAATCTACCAAAAAAATTGAATGGCGTTTTTAGGGGTCTCTTGATGTCCGATTAACCTGAATTTTCTACTGGAGACCATTCTTGGGATGAAGAATGTACCTATAAAAAACACCTCCAAATTCCTTTGTTTATTTTTTCTAGTATTTTTTTTACTTTTTCCATTTTTGCCTTTTTTCTCTTTCTTTTTTTCGATTTTTTTCTTTTCTTTTTGATCAAAAATAGAAAACTAACAAGAAGAAACTGAAACGAAATTAAAATAATGCAAAAAGAACCTGAAAACGATCACTCGTCTCAAACTAGCTCCGTTGGGGTACCTTGACGTTGACGTGCACATGAACAAGAAAGATTGCTTGATTTTCTCCAAAATTTGATCCAAATTTGATACCAATTGATAGGGTATGACAGCGGAATTATGAATGTTGCTCAATGTCGAAGAATCAAGCCTAGAGATCTATACTCGATCAAATAACGAGATGAAAGATGGACTAGGGCTTATCGTTTTGAATTGAGAAAAGTTGCTAAAAAATTAAGACAATAACAAAAGATTAATATGACGATAAATATAATAAGGTAAACAAAGAAAAAAAATATAAAGATAGAGATATTTAGCCAAAATTAGTATTTCGACAAAATCATTCTTGGTTTTGGATAATGGTGGGCGTGCATGCTGCTTGGATGATGAAGATAACGATAATGATGGTAGTGATTGATAGGTAGTTGTCCTACGAACCCTCCTAATCGTAATTGACTAGGCAAACTTTATAATCGACTCTAACCAACCCTCCTAATATCAATGAGAAGGCAAACCGGAGTGTGAAGATCTCCCTACTTAAAGAACTTAATGACGAAGAATGCTTCAAAGGCACAAGGCAATCAACACTTACTAAAACAAACTCTCATTGTATTATTTATCAAAGAAATCTGATTTACAATGGTGAATGGAGCCTCCTTTATATAGGGTGAGGAGTTCCATGAATCTAAATTATTGAATAAAATAATCATAAACTAAAGATAATGTTTAGATTCTATCCTATTTCCTAATAAAATAATAATAAACTAACGATAAATGTAACACCCATAACCCGTATATGTCTCGAAATAGGAGCTAAAGATGTCACATCAACTTAACAGACTTTTGCTGAACATAAATACTTAAAATTTTGTTCATTTTTAAAAATTTTCTATTTCAACTTTAAACATTTTCCTTAATCGTATAAAATCATAAAATAATATTTAATTATTGAAAATGAATCTGATTTTAAGCAGCGATTATGCAGTTTAGTGTTGTTCATAAACTATATGAAAATGTCTAAACACTACTTGATTTTGAAAACCATTTATAACATAATATTATATATAAACTATTTAATCATAAATACGAACTTAAATAAACTACCCAAAATAAAATGTCCAAGTTTACTATTACAGACTTTTTTAAAATAAATTCGATAAAGTAAACCAAAAATATAATATACATGCCACTAATATGTCAAAGATAAGATATCTTACTGATATTGTCGGTAGGTTTGATTTACAAAAGATGCTTGGAAAACTCCTCACTTCATGTCCTTTTTTTATTCGAACCTACACATGAAAATCATTACGCGCTAAGTAAAACTTAGTGAGGCAACAACATAACTAAAGTGGTATAAAATATAAATTTCGTAAAGTATTATAACATGAAATTATAATTTAAATAAAAACATTAAACTTTTAAACCGAGCTATTCAAACTGATTTCCCCTTAAAACCTGAAAATCATCATTTCATGATTTTATCAAAAATCATGTAAATTAATATCAAATATCATAAACAATTCATATTCCTATCATTCGTATATATTTCAGAACTTTTCATTTCATTTTCATATACTTTTCTTTCATATTCTGTCATAACTTCCACATTTATCTGTATAGCCCAATGTATATGTAAGAGAATACAAGGTACGTGTAACACCCCAACTGTACCCGACCCGAATACAAGTACAAGGTGTCACATTGACTTTTCAAATCAATGCACTTATACAAAATAGTGGAAAATTTAAACTTATATTAAATAAACCGAATAATTAATATAAGTTCAATACAAAAAGTTCACAAACTAATTAGAGCATATACAACTTAAACCTTTAATTACATGCCAACACTAATTACTATAACAAAAGAACCTATTGTTTAACTTGCTTCTGATCTAATATCTGAAGGAGTGATGTTATCCCAGCTGCATATCCTTGCTCTTCTGACTTCTTTGATCCTATGTGTGAAACACTATCACGCTGATTCATCGACTTAGTGTGGCACACTATATATAATAATGTTATATAATGCAATGAAGTAACATACAATCATATATTTATTCAATACCAGTTACATGAACATGCATTTAACATATAATAACCTATCACAGTATTCCATGTTATTCCATATTATATCTTTTATTAGCCTATGTTATAGTATCGAGAACTTAAGGTATGTGAGTGCATTGAGGTTGTGCACAAATACTACCACCCCAGCTCGTATAAAATACACCGAAGTGCCGCATAGAAATGCACCAAAGTGCTATATAAAATGTCCCGAAAGACCACATATATGTCCTGTAGGACCACATATATGTTCCAAAGGACCAAATATATGTCCAAGAAGGACCTCATATATGTTCCAAAGGATCACATATATGTCCCGAAGGACCACGTAGAACCCTCGACACTTGGCATGCCTATTATACCCATGACTCTCATCTAATAACATGGGCTTTATCACAATTCACATAATTTATGTCGCATAGACAAATAAACTCGTAGCTTTTATCACATAGTTCATGTAACATTCCCATATGTTCACTTAAATCAATATCTCTCAAGGCATATCATATAGGTCATATCACATATCATATCATATAATGCAGTCAAAATATGTTTACACCATACCAATCATAATTATGCCTCTACTTATGCAATCATGTGTTAACTATGTCGGAAATAGACTTGTCACAAGTCTAATTTCCATATTGCACTATATATATATTTGTTGAAAACATTTTGATGTTTCGATAAAACAAACTAAATATAAATGAATTTTAAGATTTTACAAAAAATTTCTAAGTATATTCGATTCAATTAATCGAATATCAAATTATTACTCCACGTCTTTCAAAGATCAATTTCAAACCTTACTAAATGTGTAAAATTGTGTTTTATACTTAATATATTTTTGAAACAATTTTCACAAAGTATTTTAAACCAAAAGCAAGCATAAAACAATTTTTCAAAGGGATGCACCGATGCATCAATCCATGCATCGATGCACCAATGAATAAATTGAACATCGAATGCATTTGATGCATCGATGCACATACCATGCATCGATACACTCAGGATTTAATGAAAACATCGAATGCATTTGATGCATCGATGCACAAGCCATGCATAGATGCACTCAAGCTATTTTAAAACATCGAATGCACTTCATGCATCGATGCACTGATGCAATAAGGGTCCAATGGTCAAAATATTTGAATTTTATACTTGACGCACCGATGCACCTTGTGTATGCATTGATGCACTAACGCTCCCAACTGGTTTTATTAATTGTTT